TGCCACCCGAAGGTTGCAGGAACAGCAACTCATATTCCGCTTGGGAACCCTGCAGCCCAATGGAATCAATGTGGATTTCGCAAGCTTCAAAATCTCCCCTCCCCTTACCGCATCCCAAAACCAGTCCAGCTCGTCCCCGCCTCCCTAACCTGTTCTTCCTCCCACCTATCCCCTCCTCCCACCTCAAGCCGCACCCCCATCTCCTACCGACTAACCTCATCCCGCCCCCTTGACCTGTCCATCCTCCCTGGACTGACCTATCCCCTCCCTAACTCCCTACCTACACTCACCTTTACTGGCCCCATCCCCGCCTCTTCGACCTGTTTGTTTCCTCTCCACCTATCCTCTCCTCTATTCATCTTCCATCCGCCTCCCACTCTCTCCCTATTTATTTCAGAACCCCCTTCCCCTCCCCCATTTCTGATGAAGGGTCTAGGCCCGAAATGTCAGCCTTTCTGCTCCTATGATGCTGCTTGGCCTGCTGTGTTCATCCAGCTCTGCACCTTGTTGTCTCGGATTCTCCAGCATCTGCAGTTCCTACTATCTCTAATTTGATATCCGAAGATAGTTTTGATCCTGGCTCTGTGTGATCAATACTTCTATTGTTCACACAAAGGATTCAAAATGAGAACCAATTGCAACACAATGGGGAGTGAATGGTGGCTGTTCACACCTGCTTTTGGATAAACTTGTTTCTCAGCATATCCCTTTGTTAAGCATTAAGTTCACAGATAGAATCTGGGGTGTGGGGTTAGGAGCATTGATTATGATTATGAAAGGGTTGGATCACAAATGGTTTTGCGTTTTGATTTTTTTTTAAGGGAAGGCATTCACAATTTAAGAATTTTCCTAAGATTTGGGTTAAATCTTTGTGCAGATAGCTCAAAAAGTCACCTGACTTTCAGAAGCTATCTTTTGCAGCACATTGTCCACTTTTTAAGCTAATTTCAAAGAGTTTACCATGCATAAAAGTCAGGAATAACATATCTGTACTGTACATGAAAGAAAATCATACTAACTGAACCAACCTTAACTTGAAACCTTTATCATAAGGTGAATGATATAGTCTAGGCTGCACGCTGAGACAGGTTCATCAAACTCACAGTCTATTAAATAGAAATTGAAATTACAGTTTTCTGGAGGAGGATATGGATAGTAATCACAATAGTTATGTGTTGTGAGTCATCTGTTTGCTTCATGGTCCTATTTAAATTAAACATTTTCTGTTGACATTTGAATGCTGTCAGATACTTAAAATAGTGCAAGAAATGTAACATGTTGTAATTAGTAAATTATAGAAATAACTGTAAGCATTAAACTTAATGTATAAGATGTGATTTGAGTAACTCAGAATGTAAACATTGCAAAACTTTTTTTGAATGGCTTTCAGTGACCAGTAGGTGGAGTACCCCTGTCCAAAGTCTCCTTTATTGAAAGGACAAGTTGCAGATACTTGACCCAGATTTCAAATGCTGAGAACAAGCAGATAACAATCTTTCCCATAGTAAAGTTACACAGGTAACTTTCAAAATTCAGTCAGTCAGATGTCAATTTTCATATAACTTCTGGAATTGTATAAAGTCTGGAGGAACTTCTGAGTCAGGGCAATAGGATGAAACTTATTTCATGAAGGGAATTTTAGAATAAAAGAAAAGTTCACTTGTTAAATTGTCTACAATAATGTTGGTAATCCATGAAGGTCAACAAAGATTGGCATTTCAACATAAAAATTACATTCAGACACTGCAACATGACACCTACAGTCAGACACTTCAATTAAACAACTGCAGTTAGGTGCTTATCTGAAACACATCCAGTCAAACACTTCATTGTAGTATGTGCTTCCTGACAAAATAATACCTTTTCATCCCTTACCTTTCTAGTAGCACACACTAGGGCAGTAGTGAATCAGCTGACCTACGCTCGGTTTGCATTAAACAACTGCACCTTCCAGTCGCGAACCATTTCAACTCCCCCTCCCATTCCTCAGACGACATGTCCATCCTGGTCCTCCTGCAGTGCCACAACGATGCCACCCGAAGGTTGCAGGAACAGCAACTCATATTCCGCTTGGGAACCCTGCAGCCCAATGGTATCAATGTGGATTTCACAAGCTTCAAAATCTCCCCTCCCCCGACCGCATCCCAAAACCAGCGCAGCTCGTCCCTGCCTCCCTAACCTGTTCTTCCTCCCACCCCAAGCCCCAACCCGATCTCCTACCGACTAACCTCATCCCGCCCCCTTGACCTATCCCCTCCCTAACTCCCCACCTACACTCACCTTTACTGGCTCCATTCCCGCCTCTTCGACCTGTTTGTTTCCTCTCCACCTATCCTCTCCTCTATCCTTCTTCTATCTGCCTCCCACTCTCTCCCTATTTATTTCAGAACCCCCTTCCCCTCCCCCATTTCTGATGAAGGGTCTAGGCCCGAAACGTCAGCCTTCCTGCTCCTCTGATGCTGCTTGGCCTGCTGTGTTCATCCAGCTCTACACCTTGTTATCTCAGCTGCCCATTGTACACTGGTTTGATTTTCTTCTACAGTGAAATCAAAATTGGGCAGACGGTAAATTGGCTGCTGTTCTATGTTTTTCGCACCAAACTTCAAAACAACCTTCATCCTTAAGTATCTTCTGACTTGCTCAACAACATCATGATGTACATTAAAGGATTTATGTATGGCATTCACTTATCATGATTACATTAATTCCTCTCACATTTTAGGCATCTTACACAATAGCACATTCCCAGTTCATCGTAAATACAATCATGTGAGACCTGCTGATATAAAATAAAAGCTTTGCTGTTAGCACATGTCTGCCACATGTTCGATATGATACACTAGGCAACACCCGGATCAAGAGTGAGCTGGGGCGACAGCGGGCCTGTGACTCAGCGGTGAGAGCAAGCTGGTGAGGCAGCCAAGAGTGGGACGCTACCGGCGGCATGGCAATGGGCTGGAAATCCCGGAGCAGGATTCTGGCGGAGGCGAGGAGAGGGCTGGAAATCCCGGAGCGGGACGATGAAAGTTGGACTTTCTTAAGTTTTTTTTTCATCTTATTCTAAGTTAATGTGAATGGTTCCATGTATGTACGGCGAAAGGACACACTTTTCACTGTATTTTTACATTAAATACACATGACAGTAAATGATTCAATTCAATTCAATTCTCTTTGCTACACTCACTGATCGCCTCGGAGTCTGGAAGTTTCTGTTACAATTACCTCTGATTATCTTGAGAAATATGAAGTAGATTCAACCACATGAACTTGCCAATCGTGAGCAGTGATCTTAAATGAGACTGGCAGGAAAACATGACAACTCTGCACCTAGCCCCAGACAACCAAATTTTTTATAGCAGGTTTGACAGATACTGTGAACTGCAATCTTTAAAGGCAAGAATTCTGATGACCAGACATATTTGACTTTGGCATATTGTGCTGCCTCCTCTCCATGCAGTCAAACTTTGACAGTAGGTCTTCAACCGACATGGTCTCCGCTCTGAAACGCTCTCCCTAAATCTTTCTGCATTGCAACCGTTCTGCCTATCATACCTACCTGTGTGTTTTTGACCTCCCTAATTCTTTTACAGCTGCCACATGCCCATTTCCTGTATTTTTCTTCTGTGGTGCACCTTGGAACATTTACTGCTTCGAAGATGTCTGGTTTTCAAACTGGGGTTGGAAACTCGATGCTGGGATAATTTCCAGGTCCTGGCTCAACGCAGTGACACTCACATAAATGCTATTTTGAAATGTATATTGAACATATGAATTAGAAGTGTTAGTAATCTATTTGGCCCCTTGAACCTGCTCCACTATTCAACAAGATCTGTTTGTAAAGTTGTATCCGCAATACTGCAAAGCTCTGATAACTTGCCACCAGCTTGCTTAACAAGAAGAAATGACCTAATATTAACAAAGGCACGCTCGACATCTGACTTGTGGTGCTAAGCATTCCCAAGAGGTGGGAGCTGCTTGCAGTCTACGGGAGGCAAAAGCTGATGACAGCCACAATGAGGTCTGCCACTCAGAAAATAGCAGACAGATTTTGTATTTTCATTCTTGGGTCTGGGGTTTCTGGGAGTTGTAGCAATTCATGACACCCACTCAACACCCCATTCTATTACAGCTAAGATGTCAATTCATCCAAAATCCACCATGAACAGACCTCAGGACGCACGCTGAAATGAAATAAAATAAATTTCTTAAGTGTGTAACTTTCTCTAATCTAATATAAAATCTAACCCTAGAATTTATTGTCCATATTCAAAGAGTGTAAAACCACTTGGAGATATTAGTCAAACTGTTAAAGGACCTTGAAAGGTTATGAAACCAGTCAAGCAGCACTAATCCACTAATGTTAACACTCAGGCTTATGCGAACAGACAGAGTGAAACAGCAAGCAATGATTTTTTAAAGCTCCTTTTTTGCCAAATATTTAAAGGACTGGTGTTGTAAATGCCTTGAAACTTCATAGTTGCTTTAGGCATTCACATTCCAGACTATTGACAGTTTCTTTTGTCAGCTGTCATGACAGTTCCAATCAGCACATTCATATATACTCTTAACAATCTAAATGGCCACGTTACCTCCCCGAAAGAGCACTTGCTCCCTCCCAACACCTGACTCCCTCCAAAAGTGTCCAGAGACCAAATTCAAAGGGGTTCTTCACCTATCCTGGGGTGGAACTTCTGGATTTCAACCTCTAGCACCATTTGTGCAATTACAAAGTGACTTACTATGATTGTGAAAATTCAGGCCTATATATTGATTTAAGTTGGTCACTGTTATCTAATTTGCCAGGTCACTGCATTAATCATAAAATTATGTTTGAAATCTTTCCATATATGTTTTAAAATTTACCTTTTATTCATATAAATTCATGCACAACTGCTTAAGGACTTTAAATATGTAGTAGCTTATGGCAGCCACAAAATGTTGTAAAAATGGGAGAAGCAATGGTTCACTCATGCAGGCATCACTGGCTTTTTTCATTCACTTGTGGGAATGTGAGTATCACTGTTTCTTCATCACACAGTCATCGCAAATGCAGTATCTGTAGACAGCAACAGATGGTTAGTGTTTCAGGGTGATGCTCAGTCCATCATGTAGGCCCAGACTCTGCACCTTTGCACACTGCCTTTGAGATACTGTGATGAAGAGACCATTACACATCTTCTCTTGGAATGTGACTTTGCAGAGAGAGTCTGAGAGAGATGCTGTGGCTTTTGGTGACATTGAACCCAAGAAGCTCCATGTCACAGCACTCTGTGCTCTATAGGCTGATCCTTGGGACTGCACACCAAGATACACATCAACTGCATTTCGAGGACCATCAGCATGGTGAAAGACACTCTTTGGACTGCCTGAAATTCTTTGGTCTTCCAGAATTGCCCATGACCAAGTGTTGTAGACTGGTATATTCCAAAATCTAAGATCACATGCTTGACAGACCCACTAATGATAGGTGCAGCAGCCATGGGGGTTGGGGGATCCACCATCTGAGACATTTCTGCCATGCTGTACCCAGGATCTGTTAATTTATGGAACACCTCAAAGCTTTATTGGAATGTGAATAATTTCTTGTCATATTTAGCATATTTTCCAATTTGGGATATGGAGACAGCAATGCTCAAATGAGAAATGTGACATTTTTATTGTATTTTCTGTAATGTTCGAGTCAGACTGTTTTGTAATGTAGTCATTTATGAATAAAAGTACATTTTTGAAAACAAAATCGGCAGTAAATCGCTTTAATATTGGCCCCATCTGTCCGAGTCAGTTCCAACTCCACTGCGCTGTTAGTCTTTTGAGAATTTCTCAGTTTGATGGTTGTTCGGATCGAGTCCTTTGTGGCCATGCTTGTAATTCCCAGCTGTACCAGCAGAGTATGTGGTGTTTGTAGCTGTGGATTTTTGTTTGTTTTGGTTTGCGTTTGGGAGCTGGAGGTTTTTTTTAATGGCCCATGTCCCTCCTCTCTTGGATCTCTTCCAGCAGAGTAGGTTGTCCCAGGTTTAGCCATTCTGGGAGGGGGTGAAGGGTCACACTCAGGCAGGTGGAAATGGTGGAAGGTACTGAGGAGGTTGCAATCCAGAATCTTCAGGTAAAGACGATCCAAGGTAAGGGAAGAAAATACAGTTCGATCAGACGGGCAGTGCACTGTTTGGACTTTCCATGATTTTCATTGTCCTCGGGAGCTTTCAAGGAAGTGAAGTGTTTTTTTTGGAGAAGAAAATGCTTTAATTTTTGGAAATGTAAGTTTGCAGTTTGTAAGCTGGCGTGGGGCAAGGGGAGGGTTTTGTTTTAAATGGGCAGGGTCTGGGTTCGTGCTGCTTGTACCCGGGAGATAGGCGGACGGATCGAACCTTGCTCCCCCCCCATTCCCAGCCTGGAATCTGAAACCATTCCTAACCCCTCTCACTGTGGGGTGGGGAGTGTGTGAACAGGGTCCGGGGAAAAACAGCCAGTCACCGGCTGCGAGAAACTTTTATTGGCTTTTTCTTGTTGCTTTTTTTAAAAAAAAATAATGTTCTTCCCTTTGTTGCGTTCCAAACAAAGCCGGCGGCGACTGACTGGGAGCTGCATTATCCCCCCGCCCCGTGCAGTTTTTTTAAAGATAACATTCGCCCCGTTTGAAGATTATTTTTTAAATATCTGGGTGTTCAATCAGTGGGCATCAGTCAGTAATGTGTCTGTACAGAGGATTTTCCTTTTCTCTCTCTCTTCCCTCCCCCACTGTCGAAATAGTCACTATTGTATCTGGGATTTGGAGCAGATTGTAGTTTTAGGGACTTGCGACCTGTCTGCAGTTAGAAATTACCCAGTGGTCGTTCTGTAATGGCTCAGTTTTTCAGAGTAGTTAGTGCTTTGTACGATTTAATTTTATTCAGTAGCTGTTTGCTGATGCTGTGGAAGAAGGGGGACCTTGTTCTGTAACTTCATTTGTAGGCAAGTGCAATGTGCTCTGAAATATTCCTGGTGTGGTGGAGAGGGAACAAATTGGATACGCAGTTTTCCCTGGATTTTGAGAGATGCGGATGAATTTGGTTAAGGAAGTTTTGCTTGGCAAGGTGAATCACAGTCTGTTTTTCTTAATATCCAATCACACTGGCCTTTGTGAAGCACTGAGTGTTGTTATTCTCTCTATTCAGGGTGACTCCCTTGACCGAGCCATTCCCCGTGTATCCAATTGTTATATGAAGCGAGTAATTTAATAATGCATTGCTTCAAATGCATTGTGATTTGGCAACCGGGCAAACGGTTTACTCCTCTAGTGACCTGTTGTTACTTGGGGTGGTTAATGATCTTGTGATTTATAGTGTTGCCCTCTCTGTTAAAACCTTGTAAAAGGTTGCTGCTGTGAGGATTTTGTCAAAAGTTCTCTCATTTGTTGTATAAGGTTATCTCATCCTAACCGGACCTTTGGCAGTTCATTTTATCCTGCTGTACAAATAATCTTGTGCCGAATAACTGAACCTTGCAAATCAAGATGGTCAAAATTTGATCCTTTGTTCAGCCACCTCTGGACAAACAAGGCCTAGAGGAGATAGATCTCAGAGTTATGGAGAAATCAGCCAGACTGCCACCTTCTGATAGATGATCCTGGATGCTTCTAGATGTATCTGTAGACTGAGCACAGGGTCGGGTTGGCTGTCATACTCCTGTAGTCAAATAGCCAAGCTGGACTTTCACATAACAGAGGAAAAGAAAAAGAAAGAAATGGCATCTTTGTTGACCACCAGACATCCCAAAACGTTTTACACCCAGTGAAGTACTTTTTAAAGTGTAGTCACTGTTAGGGAGTTTGGCAGCCATTTTGTACGTACAAAGGCCCACAGACAGCATCATGATGGTTACGTGGTAAGTTATATAACGGTACAATCATTCTTCTGCAGGGAATTAAAAGCTCCAGTCAAAAAGAAGAGGAAGAAGATTAGCAAAGAAAAGGTTTTGTGTTGCCATTGAACACTCCTGTCTATAGCAGAAAACTGTAGCATCTATGCTGTGCATCTGTAACAATTGAGAATTAAAACAGTTGTACTATTTCAGACAGATTTTGTATAATTGGCACCCAGCACACACACAAAATGGGTAGTTTGTCCACGCATGGAGCTAATTGGAGAAATCTGAACACATTCGGTTAGTTCAGTGAAATTATAAAAAGTCAACCAGCCTTACAATGGGAAGGTTGTTTGATACATGATGTCTGCAGCATTATCACAGGTTCTAGGCAGGATCATTCAACATTAATGACATTTTAATATTCCTTAACTCTTATTTCCCTTGTTCATCACTGCTGATCACTTTCAATTGCAAGTTTATTGAAAGGTCCAGCCCACTGCACCGGCCATTGAAAAAACCACAGTCCAGTCATCTGGCAGATTCATGACTTTCTCTGATCTGTTTCTGAAGGTGTTGACTGGAACTGATAGGGGGGTGGGAGGCGGTGGTGAGGTGGAATGTAGGCCACGGTGTGTTTTTCCTGCTGAGGATTATGAGTTACAAATTGAGACAGATTATTCTCTGGCCAAATGGAAAACAGGAAGACTTGTAAGAGGAAAGGCTATTAAAGCGAAAGCACGTTAATGGTGTCTGAAATCTTAATTGTATTGTTTTGAGTGGGCAGTACAGATGTGGGTCTGATGGGCAGGGTCATTCGTGATGTATCACATTATTAAAGACACTGTTCGTGCACATCACAAGGACCTGCCAGAATAACATTTTTTCCACAAGAGTCATACATTTAACAAAGAAAGATCTCATGCTCTGCTGTTTTGCTTTTGTTGAGGACATTTTTTAATCTTGTAGGTGTAACCATATTGCATACATAAGCAAATCCATGTGTTCCTATGAGCGCTTTAAGGGCTAAATATAAAGAAAGCTAGATCAGTTGGCATGAAATCAGCCCGTTGTAGCAACAAGAGAGACACATAAATATCAGCACGGACTCTCATGCCTGAAAGTGGCATGGAAACTGTTGTGAAAACACATGTGTTACACTCTGTTGTGACGGGAGGGTTCCCTGGTGGATTTCACCAGTCAGTGTGAAATAAATTAGTTCCTTATCCCAGCATCCTGTCCTAAAGTGTCTGTGTCGACATTGTGCTTTCTGCTGATAACCTGGGGATGTGGCCACTGGGAAAATCATGGGCACATATGGAGTCTCCTCAATCGTCGGCAGCAATCTGCGTTGTTATTGATCCATTTCTTTTTGCTGACTCACAAATTTTATGGGGACTGAGTGGAATATTCCAGTTCTTCCAGCATAAAGTCAAACTGCTGGTGATTTTTTATTTCCTTTGTTCTTTAACGGGATGAGGGCATCGCTGGCTAGGCAGCATTTGTTGACCATCCCTAATTGCCCACAGGGCAGTTAAGAGTCAACCACATTGGTGTGGGTCTGGAGTCACATGTAGGCCAGACCAGGTAAGCATAGCAGTTTCCTTCCCTAAAGGACATTAGTGAACCAGATGGGTTTTTCCAACAATTGGCAATGGATTCATGGTCATCATTAGATACTTAATTCCAGATATTTTTATTGAATTCAATTCAATTGATTCAAACCCGGGTCCCCAGAACATTATCTGGGAATAATACCACTAGACCATCGCCTCCCTAATATGTATCAAGTTATGGGTTAAGGACAAGATCATTGTCATTCAGTCTGGCAGAGAAAGGGAATTGTGAGAAAGGGTCACTGCGTAGAGCTCATAGGCACTTCCAAGCAGCTGGTGTTAGATGAATGTTGGATGAAGGCTGAGATAGTCTGTCCTTTCTCATAGGGCTGTACAAGGGTTTTGGGTGGGTGCAATACAAGAACTTTGATCTGAAACTAAGAGAAGCCTGCTTACAAATACTAATGAACATTAGAGGTGAAGACAGGAAGAGGCTTATGGGAAAGGTTAGATACAGGCTGAGCATTTTTAACCGAAGTAATGCAACTTTTTTTTCTAGCAATCTATCACAATAGAATTGGGTGTTTCCAACTTTGTAGTTTCCATTTTCCTGTTTTGTATCTGGTAGAAAAAGCTGATTGCAACGGAATTCCTTTTGTTTTTGCACTATGGTGGCTAACTTTAAAGATATTCTGATCTATATGCACAATTCTAAAAAAGTTCCATAGCCCTCTGTAAGTGCCAGTGTGACCCACAGTCATGGAGGGGCCTCCATACAGTGCTGTAGGTTACAGTGCATTTCTAGGACAGTCTTGCTGGTCTGTCATAGCCTTAGTGTCTTGTTTGACCCTGAGAGGAGTATCTGACAATCATCTGCTTCATCACCAATTTTGCTTGTTTAATTAAAAAACAACCATGTCTGCCCCACCTCTGCTCATCAGCTGCTGAAATCTTCATTCATGCCTGTATTACCACCAGATTTAACAATTCCAATGGTTTCCTGACTGACCTGTCTATTCCAACTCCATTAACTTGAGCGCATCCAAATATTTGCCACCTATATTCCAACACTTGTCATGTTCTGTTCACTCATTAACCCTGTGCTTACCAATCAGCACTGGTTCCTGATCTGTTAATGTCTTGATTTTAAAATTCTCACCCTTGTTTTCCAATCCATCTGTGGCCTCATCCCAGCCTATCTTGACAACCTCCTCCAGCCCTAAAATTGTCCAAAATCTGGGCCTTCTTCCAACTCTGGTCTCAATGCTATCTGATTTCAGACAACCTGCCTTCGGTGGTTCTATCTTCTTCTGAATATGCCATAAGCTTTAGAATCCACTTGCTGACTCTCTGCATTCCTTTCTGTCTATAACTTACCTCTTTGTCTAATCTTTTAATATTCTGTCCTAATACTTCCTCATGGGGCTTAATGGCACATTTTGATGGATAATATCTGGTGCAATCTTCGGCTGAGCACTATTGTTTCTATGTAGCGATTGTATGCCACCTTTCTGGATATTGTTGGTCAGTCAGCAATCTTTCAAGTCAAGCCATATGTTCTGAGGAATTTAGGCTTGTTTCACATAGACACCATGGTGATTCCTAGCACTTCAGCTATGCTGAGGAGCCTCGTAATATATTGAGATTATAGAGACTGAAATCCCTGTTCTCTTCTTATTAAAATGGTCAGGTTAACATAAATATCTGGAAATGTATGAGGAATG